GAGGCGGGAGCCGCCTCGGGAGTCGCCGGTGCCCACAGGCCTTTTCCCCCCCAGTCCCAAGCGATGGAGGATGCGAGGAAGCGCCTTGCACAGCGCTCTCTGGACCTCCGTGTTGGGGTTGCACTCCTAACAGGTACCTAGGCAATATGAGTGCCTGGGAGCTTTCTGCCCAAAAGATACTGCGTCCATGCAGCTGGCACCTATGCTGAGCTGGGAGTGTAACGGAACCGAAAATCATATTTAACGTTCACATGGTGCTCCAGCAGTGCCTCAAGTCTTGATAAAGCAGAAACCCTGACTACTATAGGGAAACAAAACTTGTAAAATAGAGATTGGCGGAACTATATGTAGGAGTATATTGCCTCGTAGAGGAAGTAGTGGGATTTGTTTAATTTTTGCTTCCAATCTGTGCATGGAGCGAGACCTCCTTGACCCTGCCTGCAACTGTCCATAGATCTGTAATGTAAAGGATTAGCATTTGTTATTAGTTGAAATGGAGCTCTAGAGAAGTGAAGTTTGGTTCCGAGAAGTGAGCAATACTGGTGGGAATTGGATGGGTTCTGTAAGTCCTGTGTCATATAGGTGTGAACCCTTAAAAATTTGGACAGTTAATAAAATAATGTGAAAGAATAACTCCAGGCACGTCATCACCACCCAGTCCATATGTGAGAAATATTAGTTGTCTCTTGGTTTGTTTTTTGAGCAAGAAAAGGGAATCTCTTTAGAGCACCACTTGGACAAATGGTGTGTAGTAAATATATCTAGTTTGTGTTTATGACTGTGCTTATATGGCAGCAGTGATCCTGTGGTTCACTTCACAAAGCTTTAGTTTCAGAAACAGTGATGAGAGCACAAACATTTTATCATACTGTCCTTTTACCACTGGCAAGCCCTTGATTTGGGTTAGGTCTCATTGAAGGCGGTTGTAGTTAGCTTGTGCGTGAGCCTTCACCACAGTTGTCTTCCTCCCTGGCATTTGACTACTTGGATGACTCTGAGTGTGGACCTTCTGCTGCAGAAGGTGGCTGTGCTGTAGGTCTCTGAGTCACACTGGGTGACTAGTGCAGGGCTAGTCCCAGGCCAGCGAGGCTCTCCATGGAGCTGAGTCCTGATGAGCTTGAGTGGCCTCAACTGCTTGCTGCTGTGGGCTATGAAGGGAGTCAAGCTCCACCACCTTGAGCTTGACAGGAAATGGTCTTCTCTTCTGAACAGTCTTTGATCATGGCGCTTCTGTTCTGTGTCAGGGTTCACTAACGTACAAAGTACCCAAGCCAGTGATACTTTGATTTGATTTTGTAGATAAGACAATGAGCTATATAAAGCAAAATGAGGCAAATGAGCTATATTTTTCATTATGCAATCACATACCTTAATGTTTTTTTTACATTGAAATATTGAGTGATGTCCCCTTTTGTGTTGGATAGTGTGACTGTTTTAACAGGTGTGTGATTTATATCCAAGAAAAAGTAACTGTCACTAAAAGATCTCAACTTTCCTATCCCTGAACAACTTAAGATTTGTTTAACACCTAAATAATGTTGATTTACTTAAGATTTCTGTGTTAAGATTCAACATGTCTAGAAATTGGAGTTTTAAGATGAAGTGGCATTATTTTGTTGACTAGAACTCTGTTGTTAGTATTTTTTTCCTCTCTCTCTTTGCAGTAAACTTATTTTAAATTTACAACAAATTGTAAATTTACAACAAATATTAAGAGGGTAGTATCTATTCTAATAGACTGCTGCTTCTTTACAGGAGGAAAATTTTTCAAAGCTGTTTGAGCATCTAGAGTTGTTGGGAGGATGCAATACATGTTTCTCCCTCCTAAGGCTGGATAAGCATGGAAGGAACTAGCATATGCTCCTAAACCTTCCAAGGCTTCCTCTCGGAAGGCCCAGGTGGAAGGACAGGGGACAGGACAGTCTATGCAGATACCCAGATAGGACCTCTTTGAGGGCTTGTATCCCTTTCAGAATGGGACTGGGCCAAAACAAAACTGATCAAACTGAGCTCCTATGACCAGTCCATCAGCACATCTCTGCTAGCTGCTGTCTTTGCCACATAGTGTTTGCATTCTTTAGTATTTTGGGTTTGTAGGTTGCTTCTCATTCATTCATTTCGTTTTCAAGATTGAAACTGTTCTGCTTGTTTTGTCAGTTAAAACTGATGTACCAACTTAAATACCTGTTCTGACGTTTGTGCGACTCCTTTATCCGTAGTGGCTGCTATAGTCACTGAAATGTAAGTTGATAAAGAAACCTTTAAAAATACTTCCTATTCAAGTATCCCAGAACCTGGCACAGTCTTTTGTAAAAATTCGTTGTGCAGTTGAGTGCTAGATAAATGGGTATAAAAACTAGAAATGATTGAGTTTCAAAGGAGATAATATGAACAAAATACTCTTTTTAGCCTTTGTTAATCCTTCTTTTATAAATAGTTCTGTGAGCAACAGACTAGTGAAGGGCACCTTTCTAGAAACACAGCTTGAAGTCTAGCTTCTGTGTAGTTTACGTGATGCCTAAAAGGGGTCACAGTGACTTAGTGAGGTGTTTAGTAGGGTTTCTGTGCTGCTGCCCGTTTCATGGATTTCCTAGGAGTTCCTGAGGGTCTCTATCTGTGTGTGAGCTGCTGTTGGATATATTTGCATGCACATGGAAGGCACGTTTGTGCAGCTGCCATGCCTTCTCTCCATACCAGCTTCATGTGTATTTTGACTGAGTATGCTTGGTTTTCTCAGGGATTTAAATTAAAACAGGGTGTTTCTGACTTCATGTGAGGTAGAAGTCTTCATTGGAAAAACGTCCAGCTCCGGAACAGGTTTCTGAGAGAGTTTGCCAAATCTCTGTCCATGGAGGTCTTCAAGAGCTGATTGGACAAGATGTTGAATAGCCTGGTTGCAATACATTCATTGATGACCTTGCTTTAAATAGCAGGTTGGACTTGGTGACCTCTTGAGGTCCCCTTTAATACAAATGAGTCTTCCTTAAGCAATAAGACTGAAAGGAAGGCAGGAGTGAGGTTTCCATGCTCTGGTGACTTTATTTTTCCTATTCCAAGAAGTGAAATATTTTCACAAGTAGAGAATTTATGATTCAGTAGAGTCTTACCTGGGGAATTAACAGTGCTTGCCTTGAACTTATAAGGCACTGTCTAGACTTCTATGTTACTACGTAGTATTAAAATACTACTGCATTGTAGGATGAGGAAGAATTGTGTTGGCTATGGTGCTGAACATAGTTCCATGTTACATATGCTGCAGAAATGAAGTGAGTTTTTAGTGTTATATAAAACTGCAACTGGTTATATTATTATGGAGGTACACTATTCAAATCAACAGTAGATATGGGAATAGATTGATGGATAAAATGCCACTGAGAAATTGTGCTTAACCTTGCTCACCTAAATTGTGTTTGTCTTGGGGTGGCAGCTGCTACAATAACTGTCATCTTTGGCTAGTGAGCTGCTTTGATTCTGTGTGAAATGTACTACTTCTGAAATTTTAGCGAATTAGTACTTTTTTTTTTATCTTTTAAGAAGAAATTTGTATAGTTTTAGAAAGTAGGTAGAAAATTACCTTCTAGGTGGCAAAGGCGATAAAAGGATTGAGATTAATGAGATTAATGACCTAGAGTATGTAACTGGCTTTTTTCTGCTACAGTGCTCTTGTGTTGAATATGCTTACTATAAATGGGATGTGTATCATACACCAATGATATAGGTGTCATGGTGTGATACAAGTGCGTGGAAACAAAGTGCAAGCTAAGGCTTGAAGAATATCTAGAATACAAGAGAAACAAATCAGTAGTTTTTTGTTTTGTTTTCTTTTTTTTTAAAATTAAGTTAATACGCTATTAGAGTATGAAACTGAAGGCTTGAGGAAATGAGCTTAGAAGGCTGAAATGTCTTGGCTGTTTTCATAAGGCCTTGCTGGTCTAAGGGATATAGAGTATATTAGATGAATAACTTTATGCTCTCTTCCCAACCAGTTTAAAGATGAGTTGAATAATCTCATATGTGATATGCATCTCTTTGGATTGAAGATAAGCTACTTTAAAACTGGGAAATAAGCCATTTTCTTCAATATCCTTGCTTTTGTTCCATGCATTTTTTTTTCTGGACCTTATTTCAAAAAGGTTGCTGGCTAGCAAAACACTGAAATACACAGGTATGATACCTGGGCATGGTGGTATCCTGTCACTCTGCTTTGGGTCATGAGGTTGGCTTACGTAACCTGCTGTTATCCAGGGCTGATCGTAAAAACATTGCCACAAAGATGATACAAATTTCCTAGTTGGCTTCAATTTAAAATGAGGATTTGACTTCTCTGTTGTCCTGCTTGGGTTTTGATGGTACAGGGCCAGAAGAGTTACTGTGATTTATTCTGTTCCATCTAGGTTTCTCTTCTACAGCCATCCCGATGGTGTCAGAATGTTCTCCAGACTTATTACCAATAAAAAAGAGTAGAAAACAAGACTAGCATCTGTCAAATGGGGCTCCCTCTCCATTCCTGTCTACACACCTTTCCTTTGGGTGGAGAAGAAGAGGAGAATAGCATGTGAGTTCTTTGACTTTAATGTTTTGATCATAAACTAACATGCTTTTTTTTTTGTGGGTGTGTGCATGCTGCATTGTGGCACGTAGAGTAGAAAAATATCTTTCTGCTTTTTGTAAGGCTTAATTTGTAATATATTCCAGCTTCTGTGGGAGGGTATTTTAAACCTGCGCTATCTACAAGAAAGTCTTGATTTGAGGGACGAGATTTCATTTTGACAATGAACATCTCTCTTTTTGAAAAAGTAAAGCTTTTCAAGACATTCAGAACCATCAGGGCTGATGCACTGTTTTTTGTTAAGCCTTATCCTGGGTGAATGAATTGACTGAGGTCTTTTAGACTCTGTCGGGTCCTCGGTGAACTATTTACAAACAAAGAAATAGTCGAGATGCTGCTCCCGGGACCTCTTTGCAACAGAGCTACTCCTCACTTGTTCTCTGCCCATTTCAGTTTCTCAAGTCTTAGGCACTTGGCTCTAAATTGTACTTTGCAGTAATCTAGGGAGGCACATACTTTTAAGACTAAGCCCATGGTATGGTTTTTATTGCTGCTTTAGGAGTTGTGGATGCTCAATGACAACCCAGCTGGATAGGAAATTTGGTGTTGGAAACACTAGCTCCTCAGGAGCCATGACACTGAACATGCAACTCCTCAAATAAGTGACCCAAAGAAGATACTCTGCCTTTCTGGAATCCAGCTTTAGTCCTTTTCCTTTTCTGAAGGCTGGACTACCTGTTAGCACAGCCTGCTAGAGGAGGTAGAAAGTAAATCCAGCTGCTGGAGCAACACAGTCTCCAGGTCAGGAAACATGAAGATGTGCAAGAGTTTCAGCAATTTGTCCTACTTCAGCATATGCAGTTACCACTGCTATACAATTTGATGTTCTAATTACATTTTTTGCCTGGTTGAATGGCATTAATCTTCCTGCACTTTGTTTTGTGCCAGAGTCAGGATCAGCTTGCAGCAGCAGAAACTCTTGCAAGAAATAAGTTTTACTAGTGATCGAATTTCAAGTATGTGTATGCAAGCAATCAGATGGAGAGGCTTCTCATCCTGCACTGTAACATTCAAGATGAAAGGATGATATTTATCCTTGCTAAATGAAGTGGTAGTTATATTTTGAATAAACTTTATAAAATTTTTATACTTTTATTTATTTGCTAAAGGCACACAAAACAGCATAGCTTCCATATAGTCATGAAGAGATTTGAAAGAAGAAAAAATTTTATTTAGATGGGCGAGAAGAAATTTAAAGCATTTTTTCCCCTCCCCAAATCAGCTTCAGTTTCCTTGAAGAGTAAGGAAGTGATTTAATTAGAAATTTTAATCAGACCAGCTCTTTGTTTTAAGGTTTTTGTTTTTTCTTACAGAAGAGTGTATTTTCATGAATTGTTTTTGTTTTAATGCTGTTAAATGCCAAATGCCTGTGTTCAAATATTCCATAACATTATTTTTATATTCCTTTTTTGTTTTTCAGGAAAAGTGCAAAATGTTTCAAATTCCTGTTCAAAATCTTGATAATATCAGGAAGGCTCGAAAAAAGGTGAAGGGCATTCTTGTGGATATTGGGCTTGACAGCTGCAGGGAATTGTTGAAGGTAAAGCATTCAAGGCATGTGAAAAAATCAGAAATTTGCATTTCAAACCTTTGAAAAAAAATTTACCGTTTATATGATATTCCTCTGCCATAAATATTTATGATGAGGTAAAGAAAACTGTCTTGAAGAATTGCTCAAATCTGACAATATTTATATACTAGGGGTGGAACTTCGAGTTTCCGGCAACGTTATGTGCTAAAACACTATTTCTCAACAAGATGTGTTATAGATGGTGCTGCATACTCTGCTAGTAATATTTCAGCAAAAGGAAACACTACAGATTCAGGTAAAACACTATTAATAAAATGTTTCATGTCCACAAATACTTTCCTCCCCCTTTTAAACTCAAGAGCAAATGAAGATTTGAATCTTCACAGAATCATTATGGTTGGGTAAAGACCTTTAAGATCAAGTCCAAATCTACTTGGAGATTAAATGTTCTTGCACTTGTCAAAGAGAAATCTCTGAAAATCTGACAATTTGTCAGCACTTGCACACAACAGAAATGAGATCCAGTAATCTGTTTCAGGCTCTTAAAACTGCTTTCAGAAGAATACCAGATTTAGCTCATTGAACTGTAGTTCAGTTCCACATCTTAAAGCACATGCAAGTGAACTGAGATGATGAAGGTGAACCTGGGACCATCGTGGATGCTTTCTGGCAAAAGTTGAGTGAAACAACCAGGAAGAATTTCCTCCAGCAGACTTGACAACCTAACACCAGAGAAGTGCAAGTGTAGTGAGATACTTTGAGTGACTAACTAAGCAGTAGCCTTTAAGCCAGCTCTTCAGCCTGCTCACATAGTCATTACCTCATGTAAAGGTTTGCATCAGTACTGTGGTGCTGAAAGAAAGGAAAGGAGGAAGGCCACAGGGGGAGAGTTTACAGGATTGGTGGTGTCCCTTGTGGTACCACTCTGGGTTATATTGTATCGAACTTAATGCTGTAAGCAGGAAGTTTTTCTGACTAGACCCTTGAACGTAAAAATGCTTTACTGATACTAGTTTTCTGGCCATTAAATTAGTTGAAGCAGTGAAGTCCAGCTTTTTCTTGGAACTAATGAGGTTTAATGGGGAATAAGGTTGTCTTTAACAGAGACAAACGCAAAACAGCAAATGCTCATTTTGCAATAAGCTATGGGAAGTATGGGCCAAAAACAGTGTTTTAGTTTATTGTAAATAACTTCTCTCAACCAAGTTCAATACTTGAAATTGATTTTCAAGATAATCTGGAACTGTTTGGATGCGACTACAAGAATAATACTTTTTTAGAACTTAATTTACACTTGTGACCCATGAGTCTTTACTGGTACTAGAAAAGTTGGTCTGATACCTAATAGGAACATGCTCAGCTGAATTTTCTTTTCTCTAATATCAAGGTAGATTTCTGGGCATGGGGCTCTTGAGGCAGGACAGCTAAGTAATGGTGTGAAATAATGATTTAGACCTGACCAGGTTTCTGAGCTTAAGATCAGTCTTACCTGTTCCAATGAGAAGTAGTAATAGTGATTTATTCGGAAACTGAAGGAATTTCACAGGCAGGTATTATCCATTTGCATCTTGAAGACCAAAAGGATTATTTTATAGGCTAAAGTTGGTCTCTGCTGGGAAGAAAAACATGAGCATTTTTGTATGAAATTACTACTTTGGTTCTCAAAATAATTATTAAATACACTTAAACTGATGACAAGAGGTGTTCCTTTGGCAAACTACTTGTCAAGCACACTGGGATCTTTAATCTAAATTTTCATTTAGACACTGGCCATTTCAATCTTTTTTCCTTAGAAAAAAAAAGTGATGATTTTGATGCGGAAGAAAAACAGGTATCAGTTTAAAAATACTGGTTTTATGCTTCAGAAAATGCCCACAGTGCATCGTGGTTAGTAAGGCTTCTCAGAGGTTTTGTTCTGTTTTTCTTCCCTTCCTGCTTGTTGTCACCTCTACTTTATCCTGTTTTCCCATCCCTCTTCAAAATAAGACATCTGGGAAGAGTATAACCAGTTTAGCAAATCAAAGCTTTCTTCTGGGCTATCAGTGATGGTTTTTGCTAAGAGGAAAAGTCTGAAATGGACTACTTAACGCTTACTGCACTTACCCCGTGGTGAGACTGGCTGTCACTCTTTACTCTTTTTGAGTATCTTTTTTCTTACACAAAACAGATGTTTTGGGGAAAAAAAAAATCCAGACTTATCATGAGCATCCATTACCTATTGGGTTTAGGAAACTAGTCTAGTTCCTAAGGGTTTCTCAGTGGTGGAGAAATCCAAGAAAAACATGTGGTTGTCCTGTGATGTGGTGGTGTTTTACACAGTTAAAAATGTAATTCATTTGAGGGAGTTTGCTGGAAAGCTGTCAGTCTTACAGTCTTGAGTTTTTTCTCTTGATAGAGAAAATGTGAGAAAAAGCACCATAGCCTTTAAGTCTTTTAAGGCTGTAGGGTTAGTTCTTTGTAAGGTCATGTGTTTCTAGGAATACTTCGTTTGAGGACAAGCAGGTAACTTCTCCCCCCAAAGCCAAGTATCTAAAACTTAATTACAATGGAAAAAGAGTGTTTCTTTTAGCCCAGGGCTCTTCAAGTTCCACTGGGGAAACTTCCCCATTGAAGCTAGAAAGCCTGTTTAAAAAAAAAAAAAAAAGCTACATTTTTTTTCTCTAAACTGTTAAAATAATAAATCCTAAAACATTGTATTTCAGAATAAAATTGTAACTCTGTCCCATTGTAGCCTGTTGTTCAAGTCACAGCAGCTTTCAGGTTCATGCTACGTAAGCAAAAGCTGAGTGTAAACAGAGCTTGCATGCAACATGCATGCGTATTTGTTTGACTGTTTTCCTTTCAGTGTTCGTTGTTTTTGTTCTTTACCCTAGGCTGCTTGTCAGGTCCACAGAAAGTGCTGTATTAGATTTTTTTTTGACTGCAAACTATTAGCTTTATTGGTGGGGGGGAGCACAAACTAACTCATCTTTGAGAGAAGTAGATTTGTTATTTTTAAGAGTTTTCATTACTTATTTCTGCTGTTATGATGGATTTTGGGGTTGAGGAAAAATAAAAAAAAGGGACAAAGAACCACCGAGTTTTGAGACCCATTGATGTGTTTGAGACTGGTGAGACCCTTCATGTGTTTTGTGGGTCCCCCCGACCCTGTCCTGTACTTAGACTATGTGCTTGTAATCATAATGGACCTACAAAGCAGACAGACTGACTGTCTTGTGTTCTGGTTTTCTTTCAGAATCTTAAGAGTTTTGACCCAGGTGAAAAGTACTTTTCCAACACTTCATGGAGTGATGTGTCTCTATGGGAGGCCGTGGGCAAAAGAAAGGTATGTATGTTTGTGTCAGAAGGTGTGAGGAGAATTGCATGTGTAATTGTTACTACTTAACCATTTTCAGAAGTGCTGATGACAATGAAACACTTCCGGTGATTTAAAAAAAAAAAGTAGCTTTAAGATAATATATATGCATGTATTTTCTTACAGCTTGCAAGGAAATACTCTTTCATTGCATTAGTTTTCTTTTATTGAGCTGGTCATAAGGGCTATGTTATGCTGTTGGGAGTCCGTAAAGATACAGCCTTGTGTGTTGGTGGTGTTTAGGTGGCACATTAGTCTTCGGCCCTTTTTTTTTTTTTTCTGCTCCAATAATGTGTAGCTACTTTTTGTATGGCTGGACTATTTGAAGCAGGAATCTGCAAAACAGGAATGAGATGAACAAAAAGCGTCTATTAGAAACTCACTGGAATACAACATTAATAATTGTGTAACTAAAGGACAGGAGAACATCTAGGAGAAGGTGTTTCTGAATCTTGCTGCCTCGATAGCTTCCATGCAGAGGGGCTGTTAATGTCCTGTGGCTCCATCTTTTCACTGGGGGGCTGGTGGCTATGGAAAAGTCTGTTTTAGGATAACTTGGTGTTTGGTCAGCTTTTAGCCCAAGTCTGATTTTAGCAGCGTGTCCCCCTCCCCATAGCATCTTTGTCTGCCCTGTGTCCTGTTCCTTTCCTAACCCTGGCCTCGGGTGTTGTAGGGTGACCAAGGCACTGGAGACTCCTCATTCCCGTGCACTTGGGGGCGAAAGGGTCAAACACAACTTGTTTTTCTCTTCCCGTGGCAGTCTCTGCCTAGCTCCTTATCACTACCTCAGATAAGGCCTACACTTACCTTCAGCCAGGCTGCTTTTAGTTTTGGTAATGGATTCAGTCCTGTCAGTGGTGATGACAGGGTTCCGGGTAGTATTATCTGCACTATATCCTTGCATTTTTTCCTCTCTGTTTCCTCCTCTTTCTTACTAAAGACTAAAAAATTCACTCTTGAGAGGTCTTCTGTATTAGATGAACAAGGGAAGTTCCCTGTCCCCCAGACATGGACATGGAAGAGGAGAGCAGAGATGGAATAAACCATTTTCCTGTCTAAAACCTCGGGTGTGTGACTTTTTGTCCTCGTCTGTCCTCTTTCCAAGCTGACATTGGAATCTGATCCAATGAAGTTCCCTGCAAAGGCCATAATATGCTGCCGTGGCATTGATTTGCCAAGGGTGCTCTTCAGTACTTCTTCTTCCTACCCACTTGTTTAAACCACCCTTATTTTCTTGATTATGGATCATTCACTTAGCTTGTCTAGGTGATACCAAAGTTGTTCTTCAGCATGTTCTATTCTAAACTTGTTGCAATAAGGAAAAAGTTGTCTGAGCTGCATGAGAAACTCAATAGGCTGGAGTGGATTTCTGTTCAGATTAGTGTGTGGTTTTTACTGTCACTACTGTTTTTATGGAAGCTTCAGTAATGCTGGAAGAACTAGGATTTTTAGAGGTTGCTGGCTGTGTCTTTCTGCTGGTCTCTAAGTTATGGGGAATGAGAGAATTACAGAGAATTTTGCTGGATAGTAGGTAGGGATAGTGGGAATCTTGTTCATCCGTTCATGTGCGTCACTAATTAGATGACGAGGCATTTGGCTATTTAATGAACCTTGCCATCACAAGGCACCTCTTCCAGCTTTGAGGTGGTCTGTCCACCTCGTCATATCTGGTATTATTACAAGGGATGCGTCATATAGGAATAGATGTTAAGTCCCACTGTCCCTGCTACTGCCAGTTGGAACGGGGCAAGGACCAGATCCTACAGTTCCAGGAGAGCAAAGAGAGTTTAGTCTCTTGGAATGAGAATCCGGTCGTTGCAGACGAACCAGATGTTATTGGTTGAGGAAAGAGGTTAGTAAAATTTGCAAGGAGACGGAGTGGGAAGGTGTTAATCAAGGGACAGAAGCCAATTAAAGCTAATTGTTTGACCCCTGCTTGCAGGCAGGTTATTAAAACTGCCTGGCCTGGCTCATGAGAATATGTATTATGTCAACAGAGGATAGGAGAGCCCCTTGAGAAAAGACCCTCGCTGTCCTCTTTATATGGCTAGAGGAGAACCCAAGGTCGGAGAGGAGTCTCTCATTGCCACTGTACCACTTCCCTCGTGCACCTATAGGGAAACCCACAAATTCAATTTCCAAGGCCAGTGTCAAAGCTTGTACTTCCTCAACAAGATGTTTATATTTGCCCACTTTTTCTGCTGCTGCGTCACTCAAAGTTGTTAACCCGCTCTTGTAGCGGACAGTAATGTCCCCTACAATCACACAGACCCCTTTAACCAAAACCAGTTTGGGCTTAAAGAGTTTGTTGTTATTATCCCTGATATGGGGCTCCAAATAAACCTCCTGTCCCAGTCGCTGGACCTCTTCAGCCAACAAGCTACGTAAGTTGTTATACCTTTTACTCTGTGCTTCTTGGACAGCAGGGCAGTAACCAATTATATGGACACAGGTCTCACAGGACAATGCCTGCACCCTCTTGATGCACCCTCACCCAAACCACAAGCCAAGAATTCCTGAGTAGGGTATACATTGGCCCGTAGCTGGATGGCCGTTATTAATTTACGATGGCGGATGCCTCTATAGTGTAACAGCAAATCATTACTTATTACTTATGTGGAAAGTATCACCGTATCCAGGATATGTTCTGTCAGAGTGGGGTTAACTTGTGTGTTTTTTTTTTTTTTCCCTTCCTTCCCTAAATACCTCTAGTGAGTCTGTTTAAATGTCGTTTCTGTACTTTGATGTTATGCTAGTGCAACGATGATGCACTGGTTTGGTTTTCCTAAGTGGGTTAGCCATGTTTTGGCAAACTTCTGGGTGACTGAGATGCCATTAACAGACACCAGAACAGTAGTGCTTGCAAATATGAGAAGCAACCTAGATGTGTGTGCAGGCAGGGCCTGCTCACCAGATGATTAAAGTGCCTCTGTGGAAGAGCTCTATTTCATAAACAGTTAAAGTATTAAATTTCTGCCATGTTTCTGTCATCCAAAATACTTGCTTTTCCTATTCCTGAAACTTTGTGTTGCTCATATCTCCATCAAAAAGTAAACAAATCTTCTAAGAAGACATAAAGAAATACTTCCCCTGATGTTACCAGTGTGCCCTTAATAGGGTCAGTTCCTTGGTGTCGTTTATTGCGATGTTTGTAAAAGAAGTTAAAACGCTTTTTTACTTCAGAATAGTATATGAGTTTAGCACATGCATCACTTGTAACATAAGAGTACTTTTTTTCCAGTGTACTGCTCAGTAGCCAAGCCGGACAGTGGCATTATTAGATGAAAATCCTCAGTAGCCAAGCCGGACAGTGGCATTATTAGATGAAAATCTAACTTTCAAATTCATAGGCTATAATCTGGACTTTGCTTCAGTGCAGCTTAAATAGGTGATCTTCATGGCTATAGGAAATGACAAAATGAATTGTTGGCAGTTTTTGCTTCAGTTCTTCCCGATGTGCCTGTGGACATGTATGGAGGTGTTCTAGCTAGACCTGATATTGTGGTGGAAGAACAGCTTGTGGTGCTTTTTGCGTGGTTTACTTAGAGCGCTGCTGTTCGTGTGTATGTATAGGGATATGAAAAGTAATGCTTGAAAATGATTAGGGTGTTTTTGGTTGGTGGGGTTTTTTTTTTTTTCACAGTAAAAATTGTTTTCTTAAATTCTGAGTGGAATCCACACAGTTATGAGTATTCTTCTTAAAGAAATTACAGTAATGGGATATCTGCTGTATTGAGATACTTGGAAACGGTCATTATTACTTTTGTTTATGTAAGTCTTTTGCGGCTTTGCTAGCAGAGGTGCTTCTTAAAAGCTTTCAGTAAAGGACAGGATATTGAAATATTCATAGAACTTTCTCTTTTCACCTTTTTTCCAGTAAATGGGAGGTGGCACCATTACCTGCTAAGTAAAAGGTTAAAAGCTTCCTTTTTAAAAGGGCTCCTAATCGTCATTGCTAAGGTTTCACTTCTATGTGCTGTGGCATAGAAATTCTTCATAACTTGTTCTGTGATTGATTTCCCTTTCTTAAAACTGACTTCATAATTTCCTGAACTGGTTTAGAACAGAACCCACTTACAGCTTCCTTGTGGATTAGAAAAAAGGACTTAATTTTTTCTCCCTTTTTAAGTATGTTATCTTTAAGTTTGCTTTCCAAAAACAGGTCTACATGAAACTGAGAAGATTTATGCTATACATCCAGTGAAGGCATTTTGGACAGGTGATAGTGCAGATTTATTTTCAAATGGACAACAGGGCTTTAGAGTGGCCATTTCTAAGTGGATGTTTTTGTTTTGTTTGCAGAGATACAGAACCAAGCCGTACTGCTGTAGCTTATGCAAGTTCTCTTCCAAATTGCTTACTTCGTTCAAGAATCACTTGCACCGTTACCATGAAGATGAAATGGACCAAGAGTTGTTGGTTCCTTGCCCAAAATGTGCATTTGCTTCTGATCCCAAAATAGTGGGAAAACATATCCGGATGTTTCACTCATCTAACAAGAGAATACAGAACTATACGGTCAGCATTTTGGATGGCATGAAACAATTCAGGAGTGACATCATAAACTTTATGTGTCTAAAATGTCACTTTACAGACACATTATATTACAATATGAAAAAACATGTGCTGATGAACCATTTTGAAAATCTAATAAGTGTCTATTTTGGCCTGAGACTCGAGGAAAAAGAAAAGAAATCTTTTGAGCACTTCTGCAAGAAATGCAATGCTTCCGCAAACAGCCGAGATTCTTTAATGTATCATGTCTTGACATCTGAAACGCACAGGGACCTGGAGAACAAGCTCCGATCTTTGATTTCGGAGCACATTAGGAAGCCAGGGCTCGTGAAGCAGATGCATATTGCTCCGAAGCCTCCCGCAGCGGTGGCTGTGGCTGCTGTG